AATCGGAATTGCGTATGATTACGTACACGTGCAGCGTTTTGTTCCTCGAGTTGTCGGGTATGAATTTCGCTTCTTTTTGTCCCCTTTTCGCTTTTCTTCAACAATAACTCGGTTCGTACGAAAGTACCGCGACGTTCCGTTACAACGAGCACACACGCACGGGAGGAAAATTAATAGAGCGGTATGATTCGTATTCCCGGTTCAACGTATTCGCGTCTACAATACTCAATTTAAACTTCCACGTGTGTTCATCGCGCTTTCGCGGCGCATGCACGTGATAATTCGATGCGTGACGAAATTTCCGCGTTACGAAGTTAATTGAACGGCGCGCGGGGAGGCAGATTTGTCGACCGAGCCGCGGATTTCGAAAACGCGGGGATTCGCGGGGGAGAGTGGCGGCCGCGCGACGATTACACCCGGATCGGATGGATGCATCGGACCGTTTCCGAGCTCCAGCCAACTATCGGGCCGATCTCCGATCGGAAATGCCGACAGCGTCGTTGCAGCTGCAGCTGTCGTCGCGGCGTCGACGCGTTATTAATCGTTGACGGCGTCAAGTTTGGACACGACGGCGTTAGTTAAGCTCGGCTTAACATTTAACGTCACCATTATTTCGGACAGTCTTATAGAGAGAGAGAGAGAGAGAGAGAGAAGGGGGTGGGAGGGAGGGAGAAAGCACGTCCTCGCTGAGTTGCTGATACGTTGATAACCAAGCCGTGCGCGCGCGCAGGTGTTAGTTAAAGGAGACTAGCGAAGGGATGAGTGGAGAGGTAATATTCGCACGTGAATATGAATGGTCGAAAGCACACGTAGACTCGAGATTTTACGCACCCCCTTCTGGTAATAACTTCTAGTAAATACCCAGCGGCTGTTTAACGTTTACCGATGTGTCGGGGAAGAAGGAATATACCGCAATATACCGCGATGCAATAGTGGCGTAGCGTAGGAATTTACGGAGCGGTGTCTCGAGGGCGCGAGAGAAGGACGGCGATTAAGGGGGATAATTAAAGGGCATATATGATTGCGAGGGAGCCATTCGGCACGCAAACGGCGGGGATTCGGTAAACGTGTGTGCTCGCTCGCTCGTATTCCGACCGATGTATAATGCACGCGACATCTCCAGGCCGCTTCGAAGCAAACGAATCGTCTCGCTTCCGAAATACGCGACTTTGACCACGGTCAGAGTGTCAACTAAGTGTGAGAAGAGTAAAAAGTCAAGTACCTAAAATCAATTTGAAATGCCGTCAGACAAATTCAGCAACGCACACATTATGGCGTTTACGAGAGATAGCTTCAAGCGGTCTGAACGAGTCAAAGGCAACACCTCGCACCGCGATGGATACCTGTAAAACACTTTGTGAGATACTTCTTTCGTGAATCGACGAGCGGGTTGAATGATCGAATGACCACGTACGTGAGAGAGAGAGAGAGAGAGAGAGAGGAAAAGCTTACTTTTTCGAGAGGACAGAGAGTTACTTTTTCGGAGTGCAACGCGAGTCTCCCGTGCACCGATCTTCCAAGCGCGGGGCTTTTGCGAGTATAACGCATAAGTAGAGCAGCGTATTGACGAATCAAGAGATTAATCGGTCGACGTGTCCATTGAGAGAAAAGAAAGAAAAGAGCCAGGGGAGAAAACGCGTGTACGTATTGATCGTTTAAGCGTCCACCCTGGGCACTCGTTGGGATTTCGCTCGACTCACCGATGTACCGCTAATGAGAACGCGTCTCTCGATTATCCGACGACGATTAGGACGTAGCGGAACGAACGACGATCTGCGCGAGTCGGCGATGCATCGTCGCGATCCCGCTCTGCTCTCGACATGCTTGCACGCGCGACTCTCGCCTCGCGTAATCGAGGCTGCTGCTACCACGCGTCAGCGCGTTCCGCGGCTGAATTTTTTCGAAGATCGTTCTGCCCCGTTCGATTCCTCAGTTGCTGTTCCGCCCAGCACGAAGAGGATCCCGTTGGGAGAAGAGAGAGCGCGGTATCTCGGAGTAACACAGGCGGTCGCCTCGTAAATTATAAATAAGAACTTCCCGAGCACGCGAGGGGATAATGTTCGGGATAACACGATCACCGAGGATCATTCCCGGATTCGCCCTACCCGTTTCTCGGCCGCTCGTTTTCCGCAGCTCGTAAATGCTCGCCCGCTTCTCGGCTGTTTCTTCCAACCCTTTTTTTTCCTCACAGCGACGAGAGACCTTTACCAAAATGTGTTTCGGATGGTAGGACACGCGTGGGAGCTCTTATCACAGCAACTTTGGCGACCCAATTTTTACGAACTCACGTCTGTAATTTGGAAAATTTCGACGCCGAAACTTTCGTGTTCGCCGCGAGACCGCCGAGCACTCGGGTGTCACTTAGATTACGAATAAGAGACGCAGCGCCTGAGCAGAAATGAACGACGCTCACCTAAACGAGGAATCGTTGCGCTCATCGCGCGCGATTAATTGGAACGCGCGAGATAGCTCCGGCATGAGAGACTTGAACGACAGAGAGAGAGAGAGAGAGAGAAATCCGGATAACGACACGCCCAGGAAACGGGGTGGGACTCGACGAGGTAATCGTAAACGATCATTTTCCGTCCATCTAGAAACGCACGCTTTTTTTTTTAACGAGGGCGATCGCGCGACGCGGATAATTGCATCGTCCTGCCCGATGCATCCTTTTTATCGATTCCTCCACCGGAAACATGCTGCACGTCCCAGCAAAGTGCCGCGCGTCAAGGTACGATGACGAAGCTAATCAACAATTGCCACGCACCGGGCCGGCCTCTGCATTCCAACGTCGCTCCGGCTTACGGCTTTTCATCTCGGATGACAATTATCACACAATTATCACGTAGATCCCCGCCGATCGACGCACGCGAGAGTGTTCTCCCGATATTTCTCGTAATTTTACGAAGGTTCACAATCACTCGACCGCGCGACTCTCCCGAATTTTTTAGCGAGAACCGTCGAGGACGCGTTTATGAGCGCGGCTTAACGCCGCGAACATCATTCACGATATTTCCAGCAGCCGCAGTTTCCACGAAAGTCGCGAGGGTTGTTTCGCGCGGTTATCGGCCAATTATGTGCCATTCACGCGATTATAGTCGTCCTCGCATCGATCGATATCTTCAGCGTCAGCCGTAATATCGGCGGGGACGATTACGGGGATTATTCCAATCGAGAAGCACATTCGCGCGAGTGAATTCTCGTCTTTGGACAAGATGATCCGAGATAAAAGCGAGATAAAGCGGAGCGCGACCGAGAGTGCAAAAGACGAGCGTCCTGTGCGCGAATTACTTACATTTAGGACTTTAGGTTTAGAACGCTGACCGCCGGGTACGCCGTGTACCGAAGAGAGAAACCACGGTATTCGCGGTACCCGCGCGGTGACGAATATATTGCGGACCATAGCCTAGCGATTAGGCGATTTCACAAATCGATGTTATAATATATATCTGTACCTGTATCTTAAGAGATAAAACAAGAGGGAGAAGAAGAAGGGGAAGAAGAGGGGGCGGAAAGAAGGAGGAAGAGAAAAGACGAAGGAAAATAAAATACGACGCGACACAGCCCGGCCACAGAGAGTCGATCGGCTGTTTTCTTGTCTCTTTTCGTGAATGTATGTCGTATATCTTGTACCAATGCCCCGACACACCATAGCAATTAACTGTAATAACAATTAAGCGGCGAAACGCGGCCAGCCTTTCCGCGATCGATCGGCCGATGCAGCGATTTCCAAAGCGCCTCTCCCGCGGGAGAGCAGTCGAGACGAGAACATCGCGAATGCATCTCGGCGATGTCTTCTTCTCTCTGTTCTCTCTCTCTCTCTCTCTCTCTCTCGCTTTTTCCCAGCCGAACTTCACGAGCGACTCTCGGCGCCTCTCGGGGTCCCTCTCCGTAAAATAATTTGCGAAAATATTTATCGCAGCACTCGTGCACCGCTCGACTCGGCTAAGAGCGCGATCCTGTTCCGAGAGTATTTTCTAGCTTCCCGAACGCCCGGGGGAAAAATATCGGGGCCTTTGGAAAACGCTGACTTAAGAAGCGCGCGCGCGAGAGTAGCTAAAAGAGGACTATTTCCTGCGCTATGCGAGCGTCGGCAAGTTTTTGAGATCGATAAAAGTTCTATCGACGCGCCGTCCCCGTGATTCACTTTCGCGAGCGATTCGTGAACGTGTCGTCTTGTCGCGCATAATAGCGAAGCGTTCCGGGGCGAGAGAGAGAGAGAGAGAGAGATAAAAGGAATTATGAGAGCGTGGAACATCGCGATCGATTGGCGTCGCGCGAACCAACGTCGAGGGGGGACCCGCGAACTGATGGATGTCCGAACATCACGGAATAACCTGTTCAATGTTCAACGTTCAACACGCAGTGTAATTCAACGCGTAATAAGTGTGAGAGGGACTTTCACGGGGAGAATCAAAAGTAGAAGACAATATGCGCGACACGAAGGAATGTGGTTGGAATTTGACGAGAAGCATCGAATTAGCATAACCACACGTACGCCTCATTTCATTAAAACGTTCGAGAGAGAGAGAGAGAGAGAATAATTTTGTTCCCCTCGCTTTTCATAACGAACAGATCAGCAATATATCATTTTCATAAATGTCATAAATCATAATTGCCATAAGCATCATATATCATCAAGATCATAAGTCGCATAATTGTCATCAGCGTCACGTATCAAACATCATAAATCATAATCACCGGGAATATCATCTCAATTTCTGAAATTGTAGGATTAGTTCTCTCGAGCGAAAAAAAAATTGTTTCCCGTTTAAAAGACATTTCGTATGCGTCAAAATCTAAATTTGTTATTATCACGTGGAATATACGTGGATAGTTTCCACTATACTATTTCCTTCTATACTATGTATTGTACATACATGTTTTATGCATCTTAGATACAATTTTCCAAGACTCACCTTAGCCAATGTTCTTCTTTCTCCTACGCATATACACGCACGCACACAACCGTCGAGATGTCCACGAATCGTTCGGAAACTCCGTTACGATTTGTCGTCCTTACCGTCTTCGATGTCGAAACGATAAATCCGTGAGGTTGAAGCCTGCGAATGTCGAAAAGCCACGCGCTTACAAAAATGGTATGGAGAGATGATTTATCGAGGGAAAACGAAAACGGAGACGCGATCGTTCGTTTCGGGCGTAAGAGATTCAAAGACGGAGAAGCAAAGGGAGAAATTGACTCGACGGTGCTTCATTATTGATATATTTATGTATATTACAAAGAGTAACATATTCGAGAGGAACGCGAAAGGTTCAATATTGTCGGACGCTGAGGAGAGAGCGTTCACGTGATTCCACTTGAAGACGAGAGATAATTCGACGTAATTAGTTTCTTACGATGTTTTTATCTCGTGTACTAGATCTTTATATATATACATATAATATATATATATAAATGAATAAGAGATAAAAAATATATCGCACACCCACGGCGTGAGTGTCGTTGGCACTCGATCGCCGGAAAACGCGAGATCGAGGATGAGCTACGTCTCCCCATTCCCGTAATAGCGTGTAACGTGACATATTTATGTGAATTTTGTCATTTTACTAACAGACGTATTTGCCGTAAAATTATAAAGCAACTTATTATATACATATATATATATATATATGTATGTATGTATGTATGTATGTATGTACACATATAATGTGCATACATCCAGCTCCCGCGCTTGGCGTTTTATTTCACGAGACCGAACTTTTTCAAATTATCACGACCCAGTAAAGAATGTAACTGTAAAATGTAATCAATAAAGAGATTTTGCCTAATACCTGTCGATGTGTTGTCGACTCGATCTGCTGACAACGATCGAAACCCATCTTCGCGTTTCCTCTTCTTCCTCGGCTCATGAATTCACGACAATCAGCACAACAAATGAGACCGAAACGGTCTCTACTTCTGGACGTCTGTTGGTACTTTTCGACTTTAAACTGTCAAAATAAAGTTGAGGTTGTCGTTACGCATGACAGAGATCTCAGACGAGGAGAGAAAAGTGCGTGTTCTTCGAGAATAATGAAAATACAAAATGGCTGCCTAAATACAGAAGTCGGTTACAGTTTCGACCCATAGTGGCTGCGATTTTCGACCGTATGTGTGCGTATATGTAAGGTCGAAAATCGCAGTAGCATCGTACTGATACAAATGTCGAATATTATTACGTCGGCCTTGGTGCTATAACAAAGCGACTTCATGCTATATCTAAATGTTTCAACTATTTTTGGACTTCGATCGCTTATCGAGACGTCGATTTTCGGACGAACGCGTAGTCGTACCCGTCGCGTTCATTCTGATTCGAAGAGGTTCGATGCGGAACGAGGACAAATTTGCATATCTCTTCAATCAGGAACTGCGACGTTGCGCCGTTTCTTGCCGAATGTATATTTCAAATGAGTTTCTGTATCTACGTACAACGACGGAGCAGCATCGATTTTCATAATAATAACGGCAAATTACCTGACTCGAAACGCTGACTCGACAGCTCGAAGCAACATTCGAGCGGCAGTGAGGTCTTGTCGAAATGGAGAGAAGATTTGATTAATGGCGGTTAAAGATAACCAACTGTCTCCCGCCAACGCACGCAGATGACAGCACTTGTCGCATAACAGGGAAGTATAAATATGGAGATTGGTAACGTCGAAAAAACAATCGACGTCTTAGGAATCGGTAATAAAGTATGTCAAATTACGAATGAGCGATTGTATGCCTAAGACGTTGAAAATAATCGGCCCAATCGCAATTCTTACTCGATTGTTCGATATTTGATAAATTATTAGCAATAATGTTTAAATGGCGCTTATTGACAGAGATTGAGGGTTAGGAGTGTGTAAACACTGTGCCAAAAAAAACGACGCAACAATCAATCAATCTTTTATTACGTATTTATCATGGGTAGGAAAGAGATTGATCGATGGTCACGTTAATTGAAAATAAAAATACCTCTACTCTGCCGTCGAATTGTACTAACTGAAAATAAAAACGTCGTCTCAACCGCCATTGTACCCTCGGAATAATGGCAGCTCGATCGCCTAGTACCATCTAGCGGCGAAAAAACATGTTACGATAAAAAAAATTATCGGTAACTTTTTTGTTAATTCCAAATTCTCCTCTACGAGGCGCCATCGTCTTTAAATGAAAATGGTCGTAATCAGTCGTGATATGACTCAACGACAAGTCAGACGAATTTTCAATTTTCTCAAATAGTACGACTCAACGACGGGTCAGAAATAACTTTTCATTCATCAGCAACACTGACTCGGATGGACTTTCCTCTCGAGGTGCAAATTTGAAATCAGTCATTCTGGACCGACGCGATAATTATACAATTGAAAAATAATTCAAACAGGACTGGCTTCGTGACTGGAAGAAAATATACATCGCATTATAAAACTATCGACACGTCTGTTCGTCGAATTTGATGACATCAAGAAGGATAATCGACCCTTTAATGAAGTGAGAATCGAGCATCGACTGACTAGTCGAATACTAACCTTATCTACGTGACAAGTGAAATGTTGTGCGATATGAACGAAAGTTATAAATAGAGGGTTGTTTTCATCGTATAATCTGTTATGTTAATTTCGTCTACACTCCTTATAATGTACTGTTACTCATAACGGTAATTAAAAGGCTAAGACCGAAACAATCTCTTTAGCTCATTCGTTTACGATCGTGACCAGTAACCCTTCTAACACACGTTCCAGATGCTCTGTATAAAGTACGGAAAACGTTTTAGTACTCCGCCGCTGTTTAATACGCTCATGAGAGCTCTTTATTTCCGCCGCAGCGACAGGAGCACAAATTCTTACATCAACGCCAATGGGGATTCGTTGGATGGTAAATAGCTTCTCTATTTTTATCATTCCCTTCAAACGACGCTTTATGCACATTAATGTTACTTAAATAAGTATTTGCAAAGTCAAATTGATTGTCGACAGTGTTATGCCTAGAATAATATTGTTATTAATCCAGATAATATACAATATATGTAATTGTTTAACTAATGAGTTATTTCTTGAATGCTTACATAGTCGTCTGTCTTGCTAGACTATACAATGTCAAAAGAAAAACTGTTGATTCAGAAATTTGCACAGTATTAATAAATAAACTGTGCTTTATTAAAAGAAGAGAATTACTGATGACTCATTAGCTTGTGCAAATCTTATATTATTCTATTTGTAGATTTCTATTTATTTCAAATTTATCAAACATATCATACATATTAAAGCATAAAATATAATATACAGGTGTCCGAAGTAACATGTTGGATGCCAATTCCAATTGGGAGTTGCTAACGCCGAACGGCTTTCGATTTTATCTTCCTGGAAGCGTTGGATTAGCGTGGTTAGATGTTACAACTACTGCCCAAATGAAGACTCAATTCCTTGAAACGTATGATGATGAAAAATTTGAAAATTTATTGAATGATAGGAATAAGTATCAAGCAAATATGATCAAATGGAAAAACGTACATTCGACATTGAAGTGTACAGCGCAAGAGTGTCCCGTCCTCTTGCGAAAAGGTATCGAGGAACTATTTCCAGGAACACTCTTGGATATGGCTGCTTCAGATCTCACCATTATAACTATTAGTCAAAAGGCAAATCCCAAGTTACTGAGATGGCGTACAGATGTCGAAACGGAAAAACTCGCTAAATATGTAAGTCACATAGATAATACAGAACTTATAAAAGAATAAAAATACAGGTGGCAACAAGTGACACGTGTATACAACATCAGCCTATTAGTTTGTTCTAGCAGCTGTGGACATGTGCCTAAAGCTCAAAATGAATGGTTACTGGGCGGACTTTATCAATCCCTTCAGTGGGCAGCCTTACTTCACGCCAAGGAAAGACAGTAATCTCTACAAAACCGATGAGCGATTCCGTTGTTTAGGATTTAAAGTAGAAGAAAAGAAAAACTGCCGAATTATCACGGCGGATGATAGCCCGAGAAATTTTGTTGGTATGTATAAACAAACAACCATATCTGTGTAACGATGACGATGATAAAATAATGCTTCGTATCCATCGAAGTGTGAATATTTTAATATTTGCGATGCTATTCTGACAATCGGAAAAACGTTTATAGCATCCGGCTTGCATTTCGATTTCTCTTTTCCTCATTTCAGGAAGTCTTTACACGACAGCTCCGTCTAACACAAAGTTCTTGAAAGAATTAATAAACAACAATTAGTGTGAGTGCATGTACAAAGAAGAGTGTTTAGTTTACTTACACGATCGGTTCAGTATCATCAAAGTTCTAAATATTTTTATGTGTTTGCGCATAATCAATTAGACGATATCACCATGTGTAGTAAAATGCGGGTTTTAACTCTGTATTACGGCGGATAATGTGCATCGATACTCTTTCAATCGACGGTCGACCCGTAATCTCTTCTAAGTTCATAAAATAATCTACGTTTGTCTAAAAAAAAAATAAATGTTTTACGTTACAATGAAACGATTAGCAAATTTTTATTCGATAAACATATACCCTCTTAAAAGAATCGCCATGGATAAAATAAAATATTTTCTTATTCAAGTAATATATCTGTAATAAATTCGCGAGATTGCATATATAAAAATGTTACTTCTACCACAAGTAACTATCATTATTATCCCCAGTCAAGCTAGAAAAATATTAAATAGTATATAACAAGATCGTAAACCTGTATTTTCACCAGAGATTCAATGCAGAATATGGCCGTTTCATCACCGTACCTTGTTATCGTTTATCGTGTATCAAATTATGCATGCGATCGTGTCGAAGGCAAATTTACATAATCACACGGCCTTGTGCCAAACGTATACGAAGCACTGGTAAAAATACAGACTGGTAATAGAGATTCGATCGACATCACAATTCATATAGCGTATAATTACGATAACTAATAATAACTAAGTAATCACACGATTACGCTTCCACCAAAGAATCATGTAAGTGGATCCTTTACCGGATTATTAAGGGTAAACTAAGAACTTTCCAACACAAACGTAAAGCAACGAATCCTATACATGCGTGCTTAATAGCTCTGTTTCTTAATTCAATCAATGTCTGCTGATTAAAATGACGCGATATCGCTAAGTGCCCGTCTCGTAATTGGAACGACGCGTCCTATTGCAGCGGCAACGAGGAACGTGTGTCAGGTCACGATTCATCTTAACGGTATAGTCGGGCTTAATAACTTACAGATCATAGGTAACTTGGTACCACCGGCAGTGCGAGTATTACGCACTCGTGCGCACTAATGAGCCTTAATTGTTACGGTCATACGCTTATTGTACAAATTAATGTATATAGATGCTTATTTGCAACACTCGTGATATTACTATGTATCGGACTTCTCTTATTTCACGCGCGCGCAAACCCGATTGCACCAACTTCGCCGGCGCTAATTACAACTAATTAAATATATTCTCCCCTGTTAACACATATATACCTTTTCTTGTTATTAAGAAATTTCTAGAGAGACGCAAGACACAATTAATAAAAGCCAGTTAGCCGAGCTCGTTGGTGCAAGCTGTCACTCGAATCAATTAGTGTATTCATAATCAACGTATCCGCAATTCGTGTATGATAACACGATAACAAATTCTACGAGAACTCTCGCATATATAACTCTCTCTTCGCTAAAGATAAAATAAGATTTCAGATTTTTGGCAAAACGGCTGCTAGTCGGTATCGATAGTGCGGTCGCACGTAGATGATCGATGAAGTTCGCGAGGTCCCGCAGCGAAAGTAGACTCAATCGACTTCCAATTTCCGGAAGGAACCGCATATGCCGCCGAACTCTTCGTTGTTGGCGTGGTAGTCCTTCGGCGAGATCTCGATGTACATCTCGTCGAGAGCTATGAGCCGGTCTCTGTGCCGCTTCAGGTCCTTTTTAAATTCGGCTGAAACGTACGTTATGACGTGCGCTATGAATTATGGATGACAATGGCGATACCGAAAAGACATTCGCCGGAGTACGAATTGTATTTGTATTCCGAACGACTTCTCTCTGTATAACTTCTTGAATAAATTATTTAACTGACTAACGTATCTTTCTCTCTCCTTTCTCTTTCTCTCTCTCGAACCGAATAGAATATATTATTTGAAAATAGAATAGAAATTTTGTCCGCCTTTGCGTACTTCTGTCCAGTCGTGAATGGTTTCTTCGCTATCACGCGGCCCGTCCGAAGTATTCTTTGAGTTTCATGGAGCGGAATTTCACTCCAAAACAAAACAAATGAAAAGTGGTAAAGTATTTTCACTCGAAGCGACATTGAAAATACTGCCACTCGAGATCGCAAGAGCGAATGTTTCACTCGAGCTTAGAGTGATTGTTTCAATCCATTAAAGTGAATTTGTTCCGTTAACCAAATACGTCAGGTTCACTCTTGAGTTTCGAGTGAAAATATTTACTCGACGATTCATAGTAAACAATTCACTCCGTACGAGTGGTTACTTTACCTCTCGAGGTAAAATTTCACTGCAAGAAATCTCGAGAGTGAAAAGAGAGGAAGAAGTTACGGTAGTTCGTCCACACGTACCGATCATTTCCGCGAGCGGCACCTCCCCGCCGTATTCCTCCGGCAGTATCTTCGGATCGATCGCATCTCGCAGCTCATCCATGTCCTTGTGTATCTGCGCGAGGAGCGTCACAGAGAAAGGAAGAAAGCGAGAGAAACATTCATAGGAACGAACACGGCCGTGCGAATTTACTCATATACTTAACATAATTCACGATGCTTACCATAACGCGCGCCTTGAGCTTGTCGTTCAGCAACGAGATAGAGAACTCGATGATCTTCGCCACGCTGCCGGGAATATTGATTAAATGCGTATACTTGTGACGCACCGGCGTGCCGTTCTGTATGCACCTGAGTATATTGCGAATGTCCGTCAAGGACCATGCGCTCAGATGGCCCATCGTCAATCCCGACACGTCGTTGATGTACGTGTAGCCGCGCACCTGATTCTCCTCGTCGTCCATCAGAGTCTCCATCACCATGCTGTGGATCCGCGCCATGTGCACCGACGAGAATTTGTACGGATCGAAGCGTCCTGGAAAACAAGAACGGGAAGATACGCGCGGGGAAAAAAAATTGCACTTCCTGCGACCGAGTAGAGCGACCGGATGAAAATCCAGGAACGATATCTCCGTTATTACCGCGACTGAGAATATTCGTGTGAAACATTCAGCTGCATCAAGAGCGGACTTCCGTCAAACTCTGATTAAGCTGATTGATGAATAATAATATGAATTGCTAATTTTCAGTTCCGCAACTTGTTGAACAATCGAAAGGTTAATCATTTCTTTCCGTATTAGCGAATTCGAGCGGGTAATGCTTGACTGACGGCAATTTTCGATCGCCAACTAGCTCAATCGGATCGTTTGTTGGTGAAAGTCACCCTGAACTCGGTTGAGACAATTGCGAGTAATTGACTGAGTAGAGATCTTCTACAGGAATCTTTCCATGTCTATAACCGAGTTTTTATTTGGTCCTCAGGCGGTGGAAAATTCAGAAAAAAACCAACGGAATTGTTCTTCCATATGGATATGCCAGAATTGTAGCTCGTTGGAAGTTATCCAAGAGACGATCGAATCTCTCGCGCGTTTAGCCAATTTTAGTTTTGTAATCGAGCCAATTTTCAACACTCTCGTGATATCCTTCGATCGTTACCTGCGCACGACAGTATCACTTTGCGACCATGCTGATCCCGCTTCGGCAGGGGCACCAGGTAGCCGCTGTCGATGATGGCCTCGAGGTCCGGGTCTTCGATGTCGAGCTTCTTGAACCAGTCGGGATAGAGCTGCCGGAAGGTGATGTAGCGCTCAAGCATCTCCTGCGCCATCGGCAGACTGAACTTCTTCGTTCTGAGGAAACGCAGCAGGAACAACGAGTTGGTGCGGCACTTCTTGATCGTCGGGTGCTTCTCGAGCCAATGGCGAAACTGCTCCAACGCCTGCTCCCGCGTGTTGTCGTCCTCGCGCAGTTCCAGCCTAGCTATCTCCAGCATCTCCGAGTCCAACGTGGTCTTGTACTCCTGCTCCTGATCCTGTTGTCCTTCCATCACCATCGTCTGAAAAGTGTAATTCGACATCTTATCCCGATAGATCCGCCGATCGAACAACGTTATCCCGTCGTTTTCCAAAAAGTTCGATTTCGACAGCCCGAAATAATTAGAAACACAATCGCTATCGTCACTCCCTTCGTCGACGATAAAATCAAGAAGAAAATCGTGGAAAATCGCGGAGAAGAAGTGAATTTCTATTCATTCCCGCGATTCTCTCGAAGCGTGGCGGAGCACAGGTCAATGAAAAACAGCTCGCGGGAATTAAGACGTTCAAAGTCAAGGTTGAACTCCCCGGCCTTCGCCGAGTCGACGGGCCACGTGTGGTCTCGCCTGGCTGAGGCGATTTCTTACATTACGAGTCGTTTATGCCGCAGCCTAAAGAGAAGACGCGAGATAAAGGATGAGAAATTGGCGAACCGAATGGCAGTACCGCTCGAGAGCCGTCTTTCGTCTGCGAAACTGACGCGTCGTAAGGTACGCGTGACGGTAACCACGGAAATGTAGAAAGAAAAGGCGCGACGTTAAAACGAGTAGCGAAAATTGGAAGTGGAAATCTCGACTATGTTATCCGGGCTCGCTCGCTCTCTCGCCCGCTCTCGTCGAGGAATCGCTGATATGATATGGAGCGTAAAGAGAAAGCATCGCGGGCAGAGTGTCACGGTATCACAACCGTGTATAGTTTAGTCGGCCGAGGAATTATGTCAAGATAACGAAGATAGTTTCTACATACAAAGTCGAGCCTCTTCGTCGGGCGAAACGCGCGAATATGACGATTACATCGAGCGGTCGTCTGCGAGCGTTAGAAACTCGGAGCGATCCTCGAGGAGCAGCCATCGCCGAGCGGTCCTTATAATTCCGCGCGAGTACACGGCTCGCTTAAGCAACTCGCTTAAGAACGAAAGCGAGACGACGTCGGCGAGGAGGAGCGTTACCGAAGAGACCTCGACGCAACGGGAACACGCGCGTTTCTATATTCGCCCGTGAGCGCACCCGACTTTCTATCCTCTATCGCGAGAAACGAAGCGCATAATACCGTATAACGCGAGTGTGCGATATCGCTCTTGCTCGCCGAGCGAACGACTTTTGCGGCCGAGAAGCATCCTCGAAACGATAACGAGCTTATTAAGGGTGTGCACTGAGCGAACGAGCAGCGAATGTGTAACATGAATGTGCGCATTCGCGTCTAGAGTGCACGGATTTTCTTTGATAAGCCACTTTACGGGCAAATCGAAACGTTCGGACTCGTTATGGCGTGGCACACTTTCCAAATTGTAACGAGTCCGGTCATAAAAGTTCACTATTCGCCTGTTCGTTCCTCGCTTGTTCGCTCGAAGTGAGTCGATTGTCGTTCGTACAATTAGCGTTTTTACTCCGAAATTACCGTAGTAAGCGCGGTATCGCCCGGAGTCTCGATCGTCGTCGCCGAGAAGAAATTATCGCGCGAACTCGATGGACGGGTTACGTTGATCCACTTTTACTCCACTCGCCGAACACTTTCGTAGACGGGAGAGGCTCTGCCGTTCGCGGATAAACTCTAAATCGCGCCTCCGCGGGAAGCCCTAAATCGATCTCCCGTTCGAATTTTGCAGTTCCGGCTTCTCGTTTCCCGGCCCTTTCGTCCGCTTTCTCTTCCTCAGCCGCGCATGTCTACCTCCCGAGCGCGAAACTCAATACGTCGCTTAACCGGATATCACTTTATTTATCGATCTGTCAAGCGAGAAAAATCATTTCACTCTCGAAAAGTCCCTTTGTAACTGATACTTTTCCTAATTACGCTTATCCGATGAGATTTCTTGCCTCTGGTTATATTTCGATTTCTGAACCGCGCTTTCTCTTCTCTCTCCTCCTCCTCCTCTTCATTTACTCGACTAATTATTTACGCGTAACCAAAGGAGAGCAAAGGAAATTCTCGATCGACACGAGAATATTAACACACTTAACAGGTCAACAATGGAGATCCGTTTCATTTACTTTCTCTCGTATCTCCCTTCCTGGACGATCTCTCTCTCTCTCTCTCTCTCTCTTTCTCGGTCGGTCGTGGTCCTTCTCTTCGAGTCTTCTTCCCGGCCCACAGCAAGACGTTCGATCAAAATGTTACTCAGCCGGATCCCGCCAGATCACCCGGTCGATCGGCAAAGCTCAACTCGGGCTCTCTCGACGACGTTTGCACTGACGTTTCGATTCGCACTTGGAGAACGCGTAGTATCCCGCGTGCGATTCAGCAACGCCGACCAGCAGGTGCGAAACGAGAGATAGACGGAGAAAGAGAGACGTGAACAGTCGGACGATGTGCACCGAAGTAACCCGGTTGCTCGGCCGGCTGGTCAATTTAAGGAGGGATCTCGTCGTGGCGGTGCCTAGCTCTCGGCGGACGGACTCTCAGGACCTTCACCTACATCCCCGACCTGACGCTCTCCGTCTCTCGCGGCGGATAACGCGAGAAGTGTTCTCCCATGTCCGCTATGTGCAATTACGCACAGGTATATCCGCGCGAATCACTCGAGAGGATCCCGGGGCAACGGGATGATCGACGATCGAACGGAGGACCTTGAGAGGATCTCCCCAGCACTTATATTGTTTAATATTCTCATCTATGGGCGAATAATTGATTTCAAAGGCGTAAACGACGCTCGGGAGATCCGAGTCGATCCTCCTGAGTGTCCGATTAGACACGATAATCCGCCGTAAACGAGCCGGCTTCACGCTTTTTTCCTTGTTGATATCGCGGAGGATCTTTGACGTCTTGAGACGTCTCTTAAAAGACTTCTCACTTTTTGTAGACAACTTTTCACGCTGTCCGGGATGAACGAAGGATACATCGTGTCCCGAGAGTCAAACACGACGTTATAAGCAATTTTGATTGGAAATTAGAGTATAATATTACACGTTTACAGATACGTATAATAAAGTAATCTTGATTGCAAGTGCTTTTGAAAGCGTGCTTCCGTTTATTAATTTTGAATCCGTTTATTTATCCGTTTATATGGAGGAAAAGAATGTTAGTCTCTCTCTCTCTCTCTCTCTCTCTCTCTCTCTCTCGTCGCCCCTCTTTTACTACGGAAGTTTCAAAATAGAAAAATCATCTTATACAACTTGTGAAAACATTTTGCAAATTTAATGGAAAAGAAAAGCAGAATCCATTTAAATGTTTTGTTATATCGGAACAGTTTCCACAAGGCGTTTCTAAACGGATGCAAGCTAAACGTTTAAACGTGTATTCGGCGAACGGATCAAAGCTCGAGCCCTACTGGCAATTATTTTTCGTCGGGACGGTTTTATTAGTGGTTGTTGTTTTCCTCGTTGAAAGCACGGTTTGTGAAGCACGTATGCAATGGCTGCTAATTAATAAGCCGTTCGCAACGGTCCGTGATTCTGGTCTACACATCTGACTGATGTTTGTGCGACGGATATATTAGAACAAAAGATGTCAAAAGTCGAAGCCGACTATTAATTCATAACGCGCGTGTAATACCGATGAAGTCGGCTTATACGCGTATTTTCATGCGTCACACGCGTGCACATACGATTTTCACAAAGCCAAATCGAGAGAATCGAATCGAGCGGTCGTAATTTAGCGGCCGAACGCCCTGACGAAATACAAATGTTCCGATTTTGAGCCCGCATTCCTTGTTCCTCATTATTGTCGCGTTAACGACGCGCGATTTGAAAAATTCAAGGAGCTTTCGCGCGAGGAAAGAAAGTCTGTTTCGTATGAATTGCTGTAGAGTGGCGAATTTTATTTTCGTCAATTTGGCGAATACGCTCGCCATCGAAATCGTGGGAGTCTCTCGCAAGCCGACTCGAATTAAAGTATCGCCCAAGCTGATGTATTACTTTCCTCAGCGTAAAAAGCGCCGAAGAGGCGCAACTCGTCGTTCGAGCGGTCTCTGCGCCGGGAGATTCACTTTCTTCTCGTAATCTTCCATTTTGCTTTCACCGCTCTTTCGAACGAGGATCGCCCGGAAATCGCTCCGATGAATATCACGGTCTCACCCCGGCAACATCCAACGACCGGCGTCGTTGTTCGCTCCTTAGCAAGCTATCGCTTTTCTACCGGTTAAAAGATCGAAAGGCTCGACGAGCGATTTCCTCCCACGCATTTTTGCTCCTCCGATACGAAGACAGCCTCGAAACTTTTTTCATCTATTTTTCATTTCGTGCTGATTTTTCCAGGCTTCAAACACGAAAAAAACGCGCGCTCGCGAACTGCGCGATTTTATCGAATGCGGAAAATCGAGCATGACCGTTCGCTGCGTCGACATTGAACCCGATGACTTAGCATGTGAAAGGTATTACGCAAGTGTTTTCGAAAGGATTTCGAACGTGCCTGAACTCGAGAATATCTTACTAAAAATTACTTTTCAAACAAACATCGACATTTGACTTTACAAAAATGAGCGTCCTCTTTGCATAATATCTTATAATAATATCTTTCCTTCAAGTTGTATAAATAACATCGTTAACCCTAATTCGCCCACGTTCCGGTCCGGTGGGCCGTTGAACGTTTTCCGATCTCCTAATTTCCATATGATATAGGATTTTTCCCTGAAATAAGTAAGTTGGCGCCGCGTCTTTCAAGAATTTGTATCCATGAAAGACGCTACTTAGGATGCAAATCCTCGAAAGACACGGTACCAACTCAGGAGCCACATCAAACCGCTTACCCACACCATGAAAGCTTGAAATTTCATCTCTCATCGCATTTAACTGCTTTGCATTTTCTAATTGCGAAAGAGAAAGAAAAAAAAAGGGAGAGAGAAAGAGAGAGAGGCGGATATTTATCAACATTAATAAAAGTGAAATTAGAAATAGTTACGACATCGATTGAAATTCAGTGTTTCGTTGTAAGGCGCGAAGACACACAAAGAAACACGGAAGTCCGGGGAACGAGTAAACGTCGCTTCACCCGTCGAGCCGGTCCGGCGATTCGATTCCGCCTTTTATCCCGTGAAATTAATTCACAAACACTAAAGCCGGACGTACCGCATGCATGGCTGCCATTATGGCTACGTAAATTATTGCGTAATCGATCACTGGCACAACATTTCTTGACGTCAGTGAAAGTCAAGCGCGCTATATCGGGAAGCAACACGCCTTTCTATTTCCCCCCGCGTTTTCCGATATCAGGGTCGATCTTTCCGTCAGGCGCGATCGTCGTGTACGCGCGAATCTGAAAAATTGCGCGATTGCTCGCTGTTGTCGAATAACTACGCTATCAAGTCGACCTCTCGGCCGACTTCGCAAACTACGGAATAAATTACCATCGTACCTACCGCGAGCGAACAGTGCGGAGTCATAGTTGCGTGCTTTCGAAGGACAGCCACTATACATTGCTCGCGTTTTGCGTTTTTGCGAAGGCACGCGCGTCGAATCCATGTCGAAAGTAGAAATTCCGACGGGCCGAATCTCACGAAACCGTAACTAATGCGAAACTTGGAGAGCGCGGATTGTTAAATGAAGCCGCCGCCTCCTAGATCGATGCGCGCACGGTCACCGTTGCTTCGGCGATGTAATTTATCGTGCGAAAAATAGAACGGACGGAGAAAATTCGCGGCACGCGAAGTTTCCAGGCGTACTTATGTGCATTCGTGACGAGCGGCGCAGGTGAAATTTCTGGCGTTAATTAATGCCCGAAATAGCCGAACGAGCGTAAAAACGTGAGGGCGCGTGGGACGAGTGGCGATCGAAAATTCATAGGCGCGAAACGCGACGTTTCGAAAGCACGGCATTGATCGTTCTGCGGAAAAGCGGCGCGACTAGCTACTATTTTTAAGCGTTTCGTGCTACGACAAAAGCTGCGTTCTTAGCGGCACACTTAAAGTGACTACTTTTTCACGCAAGCGTTACATTATACATATAATTAATTGAATGTAAGTCGTACGTATAGCGGCTAGACATGCAACAAAGTCATTGGAGCGCTTCGGATCAGCCATTAGTATGTTTCTAAGCAAACTATGTTAAGTAAACGTTTTTATGCAAACCATGCTTTGCCGCTTTCGTACAGCTGGCGTCATGTATATTGTATTATTTCCTAGACAGGAAATCACACTGAAAGAAAAAAAAAATGTTACATTCAAGAAAATATTTCAAGAAATTACTTCAATACTCATTAGCAAACATTTGCTTGAGTGTAGTACTTTTTTTCTTTCAGTGTACACGACTTCAGCCTTACACATAACGCGTAAGGTTGAAAATCACGGAAGTAAGTTTAATTATAAGGTAAGGTTGTAATGGCTTTAATTACAATAGTTACAATCTCATGTGTACATGTATGAAAGGCTAAAAATGATATAATAGTAAAAGTTTCAATCTCTAGGAAATGATATGACATACACGACACCGGCTGTACCGTTCACGATGCTTTTGTATTTCGTCGTGAAATTTCACCGTTGATGCACCGAAAGAAATTCCATTAAAATTATAATTACTTTTGGCCTCAATTATATCTTCTTCTTTTTTTAACCTATTTTTTTCTTGATGAGTTTCATTGCTTCCAGAATTTTGTTCTTCCTGCAGTTGAACATGTAAATTACACGGTAATTTTATCGACAGCTTTATACGCGCGACAAGAATCTAAATTATCATCACAAAAATATATAAATTATCCTCTCTGTAAAAAGCAATTCTATATCCATTCTCTTCATTACGTGCATGAAACGCTCTCGAAACGAAATTGACAGTAAACGTGCGTGTAAGTTGAAAACATTATGGGGTATGAATTTTGAGTGTGTCAGTGTGCGGTTGTCATCGATGATTGCCGTACGAGTTCGAGCGTCGAAAGTTTCGTTCGAGCAACTAAGAACGCGTTCCGAGAACACTCCAGCCGCGCTGCACTTTCTCCGGCGACCCTAAAAGCTCCCCAACGCGGCTCGCTGGAACGAAAGTGCATCGACCTCGACGCGACCTCGGCGAGATAGTTTCGAACACATTCGTGAAATCTGCCGGGCGCCGATTCGTCTCGACCGCTCGCTGATTCTCATCGGTTGCGCCCTCGCAACAATCAAAGGTCAACGGGAACGCGTTTTTCGAGAAACCATATCCCGATTATGAAGGATCACACGATTCGCACGATGGAGATCGTAAATAGTTTTCGACGGTTGTAAATGTTACAACGCGCGATATCGCCGCGCTATTTACCGACTATGCAAAAATCCACGTATCTCGGCACGTTCTCGGATTACTACAATTAGAAACTCCCGCGGCCGCCGTTCCGTTATTGCCGCTTCATACGACACCTCGCTTTCGCGAGGGCTCTCGAGCTATGACTCATGCTGCTCGTATATATAATAGTAAGAGAGATCCACGTTTGGGAAAGTCGGAATAAAAATCGCTCCTCAATGGTATGCGATATAATTGCTCGTTTTGATATACATATATAATACTTTATATATATACATATATACATATATATATATATATATATATAAAGTAAAAAGCTGTGTACACGCCGCTACCGATGCTACATGCTATGTATAAATGTACAGACGCGCACGAGCGCGAAAACGCTCACATAAACAGGCCCGATTTATATTTAACCCGCTTAGCGATTTAACGAAAATTCAAATACGAGCGCAATAGTCGTCCCTCGCGCTGGTACACGATCATTTATCAGCGCGCCTATCCCTGTTCGTTGGTCCACCTCATCTCGCTGTAAACGAACTTCCATAAACGATCAGACGAGAATATAATTTAATTCAATCGTACAAAACACGCTTGCTTCGCGTGAGCACGCGGTTGCGGGCGATTTTCCTGCAACGTGGTGGATCGCTTGTACTACGCCTGTGTTGGCACTATGTTTTGTTCGTAGGGGAAAATGTTAGCGAAGGAAGTCTGCGATATTCAATCGTCGAAATTTCGAAATCTCAGTGTCACTAGAAATCAATTCCTAACCGCAGACTCTTCGAATTGGATTTGAACGTAACGCTCGCTCGAAAGACGAAGATATTATCGTTGATGGTTATTCGGACGGAACTTTAATTAACGATAGATAAAAAATTGCTGAACGTTGATATCGTAGCACGAGTACGCAAGATTCCGATCGTCGTATGTCCACGTGAATAAATTCGTAGCATATAATACGTAGAACGCGACATCGGCAACATACGACGTAAGACATTCGCGCTTTCCGCCGCGGTTTGCTACTCGTGTCACAATTGCGAATAACTGACGCCGTTACCAATCGCCAAATAATAATACTCGATGCCGGGCGATTGGAGGGTGAATTTTCGCGAGTCTCATCATCGTGATACGCGAGGACGAGTCAACAACGACTCGTCCCGGCGTGCTTTAAGCTCGGACGGCCTGAAATGTATTTCTAGCACGGCGATCATCTGAGGATGACGTTGTCGAAGGTTAAGTCCCTGTTCTCACGTTGAACGCCGGATTTTTTGAAAGGATTCCACGGCAGCCTCCTGACTACGTGCGCCGTAGTGACGGATCCCGCCGGGCTCGGCTGGCCAGAAGAGACGCCGGAGGAGCTACTCGCCGAGACGCTGCCCTTATCGTGGTGGCTGTTGGGTTTCCCTGGTTTCTAAAACGATTAGTTTCTATCGTCGTACTTTGACATTCAGTTTTTTTAGATCAGTCAATCGTGGACTCGATTGTTCACCTTTAAGTAGTTCCTGTCCATGGGTGTGACTAACTTCAAATTTATGAAGTCGCCGCACTGCTTTATCATCCGCACGACTTGCTCGTGGGACGCCCATTTGACGTCCTTGTCGCCGATGCCGACTATGAAATCGCCTTCCTTCATCCCACCAACCTGAAATCAAGAGGAAACGTCTCGCTATCATATTACATTCGTTGCCATATTTTGGTTAAAAATAGGAATTAATGAAATTATTTAAAAATTAATAAAAAGAGCTAATGACAAGTTTCTTCGTATACATATATTAGTAAATGAAATTGTTGATAAATATGATCTTACATCGGCTAACGAATTGTGATCGACGGCGGCTATTATCACCGGAGCATCGCCGCGTACGCTAAATCCGAAGCCTTCGCCGTCAGGACCTCGTTGGAGCTGTACCAATCGCGGCGCGGTCCAGTGCCGTTTGGCCGAGAATATCGCTACGGGTCCCAGCGATCTGAACAGATCGTCCACTCCGTGTTGCCCGAAATCCGGATGGGTGATGCTAAGTTGAAATTTTGTGGAAGCTGTAAGCGCAAAGAGAAAATGAAAAAAAAACATTAGCATTTTGACGGCTATTAAAGAAATCGATCTCAAATAAATTTTTAAGTAAAACGTTTACCAATAATATCAGGCGGATCCAGCAATTCTCGGAAATCGTCCTCGTTGCCGAATCTGTTGTAGCTGTCAAGAGTCGCTTCCTGCGCCTTCTTCAGAACCCTCGCCAGAGCTTGCTTGCCTTTTAGATCGCGGCACATTCTCTGCAGTCGTTGGCTCTCGTCGTGCAGAACAAGAGCCTCTCTGAGATGCGCCTTGCCTGCAAATAAGAATACGATATGCATTTAATCTATTTATTTAATTCCTCTGAATTCAATTCAGCTTTTCTTTACTGTTTCAGGATCAATTTCGTTTCACCGAGTAAAAGCAACACTTGATAATATAATGAAGGAAGTTGAATATAATGATTTGAATAAGTCGTGAGGTGGACGACGCGAACACACGCGTTAAACAAATGAGCGTGAACGTACCCAATAATTTCCTCTCATTATCGTCCCTGGGAACTGTCGTGTCCAATTGCGTCTTCCCGTCGCTCTTCTGGATATGCTCCAACGTGAGCCTAGTTTCTACGCGAAACTCGGCGATCGGTCTGTCCAGCAGACCAACCGCGATATGCTTGTGAGCAAGGGCGAGGTGGTGCTCACGCTTCACTAGTATCAACGAGATCCAAGTCTCCGGGACGTAGTCACGGACTGGCTCGCGCGATATCAATCCGTGGACATCGTTATATATAGCAGCCACCTGTGCATTAATTATTACTATCATTCGCGCTCCCGTTCGTCGGGAAAATTATTATCGTAGGAAAGGCGTTTCACCTGAGCAGCTTCTTGAGCAAGATCCAAGCAAACGTCAATGTTCCTCCCGTCCCTCGATTGAAGCTCCAGCTTCTCGAAAAGACACTCCCGCGCTTGAGCCTGGAACACGAAAGATAAGTCAACAATTAACATTGAATACAATTGAATACGAATATTAGAAGGTTGTTAACGCTTGTAGAATAATCTACGTTTTCTTCCCAAGTTTTCTATAAAACATAAAATTAAGATTTACGAAATAATAATCAATAATGTAATTATGAAAAGATAACATGGATGGGGGAAAAAAAACTTACAAGCATGAGCTGCACGAGCATCTCCAGCATGTCTGGGCCCAGATCCATGCTTGGTGCGTTCGTGAAGTTCTCGTGAATGTATCGGAAGGTACCGGCCGCCCTCAGGAAAGCGTCGACCGCCTGATCAAGACCGCGAGCGGTCATGCGATCCTGCTTGGCGGCCAGCTGTGTGTAGAGCGCGCCGGCATTGAAGAGAATCGAGGCCTTCTCGAAGGCAACCGTTCGCTGACAGCTGGGTACTCCTGTGAGCGAGTCGAACCATTCGAAATAGATGCCGAGGCTCCTATCGGGCGGGAAGAAACGCCTTTCTATGAAGTAGAGTTGATTGTAATAACGCAGCAGCAACGCTATCCCTGCCGAGTCTCTTGTCGGTGTTCTTGTAGCCTGCAAACATAAAAATTGCAAAAATATATTCTAAACGAAATTCCCCCCAAAAAAGTCTCTTTTCAAATTAATAAAGAGAAATAATATATTTTTAGATGAATAGGCATTTTTAAATTAATAAAAATAATTTTGCGATGAAAAAAGTCATTTCCTTACTTGTCTGGTTTCCATCAAATCGGCTATAGCTTCTTCGTAGTTCTCGCCATCCTCGCTGTAATGCTCCAAGATGAAGTCCTATAAGAAAGAAATGATTCGTTTACATACATCGCAGGGCGATCGGCGATTCACGGCACGTGCGTGCAGCATGTGGAATCACGACACGCGACTAACAATGTTGAATCGATATCTTCCTAGCAACTAGCGAGGCGACTTCTTGGTTAACGCGCATTTCTACCTGAGATAATACGAAGAAATCGCGAGTTTGTCGTTCATTGAAATTCAGTGATTGACGCAACGCGAAAATGGTGAGGATCACACTGGAGCTGATACGAAAGCGCTCGGAGCACAACGAGGGCGAGATATCCACGTTGGAGGAGATAGCCCTGCACCAAGAGAATATCGATAAAATCGAGGTGATAGGCAGGCACTGCAGGGATCTCAAGATTCTCCTGCTGCAGCACAATCTCATATCGAAGATTGAGAATCTGAATATGCTGAAGAAGTTGGAGTATTTGAACCTGGCCATTAACAACATCGAGGTTATCGAAAATCTGGAAGGCCTGGAGAGCCTGAAAAAGTTGGACCTCACCATCAATTTTATCGGAAATCTACAAAGTGTGAAGAAGCTCAGGTATTCGTTTCCTTCCCTGTGACACATCACTTTCGAATTCAATAATATATATTTCAAAGATTATAATGTTTCAGTAATGCATTCCAAATGTTGAGACATTTCATCTAGATTCAAGAGAGAATTTCACATCAATTCTTATTCTGAGTATTTATTTGGAACATCAAATAGACACTACATATCCTGAGCATTCATCCGTTTCCTCGTTTCATGTTTGATCGTCACCGACCTGTCAGACGCACGGTTGTTCGCAATTTGTCGTTCTCGTAATCATAATCGCCCGCATGTCTCGCAACACGGGCTGCTTCCGCGTCAATTGAACCGCCGCTCTCTACCGATTTCGCATTGTGACACTCGTCAAGTCCAATAGAAGTAATAAATCACATTCGATTCGTCCGCGTCAGGTGCAATGAGAACCTGGAGCAGTTGATTCTAATGGGGAACCCGTGCACGGATTACGAATACTACAGGGAATACGTCGTGGCGACTCTGCCGCAATTGCGTGAGCTTGACATGAAGGAGATCGAAAGGTCGGAACGCATCAAGGCATTGCAAGTGTACGCGCGGGCACGAGACGACGTTATCGAGGCGTATCGATGCTATGAGAAAAGCAGACTGGCTCGACAGGCGCGTCGCCGTCGTGACGCCACACTAGAAATCACCGAGATAAATGAGACGGTGAGTTCTCCGCGACAACGAGCGGCACACGGATGACAGTGTCGTGTCGTGTCGGCGATTCAATTCTAGAATTCCCGTGTGCAATTTGCAGCACGTAATCGACTTCCGTCCAGTAATTATTCGTACAATATCGAAACATGCCACTGATATAGTTCATCTAAGAAAGTTAAACTTCAATTGGACTTTTATAATGAAATTTTTCAGTTATGTTTAATTTTAATCGCAAGAGATCGTTGCATAAAACACTCGAGAAATTTGAAAAACGCAAATCAGAACGCGTAATATCTTCTTTCAGGATACTACAGAGGAGAACAAAGAAAAAAATAGAGAAAACACAAAGGAGGAGCAGAACGGAAATGCAAACACAGAACAGGATGACGAATCAGAGGATGATCGTTTTTGGAAGCAGCCTAGCTATCATACGCCGGAAGACAGGATTGCTATTGCCGAACGGTTTGCCAGGAAACAAGAGAAGAAGAATCGCGCCTCCGACAAGAAGGCCGATCTCTCTAAACGTGAGCTGAAGTTGTTCGCTCCGGATGGAAGGCCTTACAATATGAATCAGCCGAAAGTGCCGTTCAAACTGAACGACGAGGACGACCCCAATTTCGTAATACTCGAAGTCGCCGTTTATAGGTAGCGGTGATAATTATAACTGTACCGAGCGATCCTTGTGTTCTTGGCATTACAATTAATTTCCACGTGTCATCTCGGGAACTTGTAAAAATTCACCGGAACGGATGTTCTTCCTCGATCTTCGTCGCATTGATTTCTCGAATTCGCAGGCACCTGGACACCTCTTATATCGACGTCGACGTGAACCCGACTTACGTGCGAGTTACCATAAAAGGAAAGATTCTGCAGTTGACCATACCCTGCGAGATATCGGTCGAGAAGAGCAAAGTCCAACGAAACACGACCACCGGAAGTTTGGTGATCACTATGGCCCGCTTGACGCCGTGCGTGACAATAATCGCGAAGAAGGACGAGTCGACAACGACGAGAAAGAAGCTGGGCAAGCGCGAGTCAAAGGTCATCACGATTCGGCCACCGGTTACCTCCCGACGCGCTTTTCTCGAGATCGGCCCACCCTCGGATATTCTTGATCTTCTGAAGATAACCGAAGATCCCGCGAAACGAGGCCAGAGGAACGTCCTCGCGCGAGGGAAGGAGGGGACAGTGGAGGGTTTCGAAGACAATCCGGACGTGCCGGCGCTCGAATGAACGGCGAGGATGCAGTAGCAAACGAAAGAGATTCATTATCGCGAATGACGATGATTCCGCGATGTTCGCGCGATCGACTCACCTTAAACGGGTCCCGAAAGTCGATGTCTTTGGTCTCCTTTAGTCCCAATGGTATCATCGGCATAACGGGCTCCTCGCTGAAAGGAGAATACCGTTCGATGTAGCGCATATATGCATCCTCGTGCCGTACGTATCTCTCAAGCGAGGTTCATAATTCTCGCCGACTTACCCGTCGACATTCTGATAAAGCTCCACCGAGCTGTTGAGCTCGGCAAGCTGCTCCTTCAACAACTGCAAGTTCGAGTTGACGTAGCTCAGCTCCAACGCGACGGTCTCCTTCAGCTTTCTGTTCGTCGTCGCCCTGTAACGAGAGATCGTCACGCGGTGGCAATTAGCGCGCGCAATACGTCTGTAGCTGCGACTCATTAAACGATCCTCGAGCGAGAACTTACTTGAAAAGATTCTCCGCGCCCGCTCGCAGCCGCAGCTCCTTGTTGATCTCCTGATTGAGCTTGCTTCGCTTGTTCTGCAGCTTTCCTCTACAGGTCGCTACCCTCGGATCCGAACCCTGCGAACCATGAAACGCATAGTTAGCGATGCCTCCGACGCATCATGCACCGGCCCGTAATCACATAATCCGCAAAGGATCGCCACGACGATAAAGACCAGTTCCGCAAACCACGTTGATCAATCGCCAGTCTCCAGCTGGCGATTATCTATCCTTTTGTATCATAGCTCGTGCCACAATGTACGGAAAGGAGCGAGAGACGATGATAAAACAATCTTTTTTGCTATCTACATTAATCCCTTCGAAGTATGTGCAATGCAAATTACCCGTAATCTCCTAGAAAGCTTTTCTTTTCGATAATATCTTTAGAGAGGGAGAGAGAGTGTGTCTATTGTTATCAATTGCTACCTTGTGCTGAGACTGGTGAGACTCGAGCGATTCTATCGTCGATTAGGATTAAACCTGCTTAATTCAATTTCCCTCTTGTCGGTTGATATTATTATACGATTACAAACACAAAAAGGAACACGAGATGATACACGCCGGACAGCACGTCTAAAACTGGGAATCATAAGATCATAAAATCATGGGATGTCTTTAAGACATTTTTATAATGTCTTTAAGACGTCTATGATCCGACTTTAAGCGCTTTGCTGTCTGGGATGGCTAGTTATACGTGGGAATTTATGTGTTTGTGGTTCATCGAGGAGACATTAAGTACCTCTTGGTTTCGGGAAAAGTTATACCTGCCAATTTACACGCAAATATGTCGTAAAAAGTACGATCACGATTATTTAAAAATATTTCGCCATTTTTACTTATTTATTTTATTATTTTCTATATAAATTTATGCTATACACACTGTTTCTCCCCAAATTGATCTCTGCCAGGTTTCAACAATATTCTCCGTCATTTACAACCTTCCCTCAATCATGTATACTAATAGGTTTCCTTCCGTTAAAAAAAACAATATTATCATTTTGTTTCCGGCACGGGGAACGCGATCTCGTCTCTCGGTCTTTCGGGCGTTCACACGCGGGTAGAACGCGAACGCGTCGGAAGAAGCCGCGCCGACCTCGAGAGACCGGTGTGTGTGCAGCCGACTGTCAAGTTCGGCTTCCTTCGCTCCTTACCCCGAACCGGAAGCATCTTCTCATGATAGCGTCCGGCGTGGCGGTTTTCGCGTTTCGCGCACTTCGCACCGTGCCGCTGCCGTCCTTTCTTCGTTCGCTCGTCTTCCTTTCGTCCGCCTTCTCGTCCGTCGTCTCGCCACCACCTGGCACGACCATCTTCGCGTCCGATGACGCGATCCCACGATCTTTCGGCAACGGGCAGTAGTGCACCCACTTCAGCATGATCGCCGGTGCATCGACGGCGATCCCGAGCGTACCATCAGAACCGTCCTCGCGAGCGCGGGCGGAGATACGATTTTTTAGCTGGTCGACCGGTCCCTTTCCTTTTTTTTTATTACGTCCCAAAATGAGGGACGTTCGAGAATGAGATACTTTGACTACATCGATTTATACAGTACAGAATATTTTTTGATCAGCGGAGCGGAGTTGCGACAATTTTTTAGAGCAGGATATTTCGTAACGTTCGAGAGCGACGAGAGAAAGAAAGAAACGGACGTTAATCCTGGGATACTCTATGTAAATTCAGAAATATCACATCCGAGGAAAGTGCCATTCTTCTCTCCTGGACGGCCCAAACGTTCTCGCAATCTCGCCTACGTGCATCGTCTTGTAGAATTCAATGCGCGAAAGATCGATCGTAAAAGTCCGTGCGTGATTTACGCGCGACGTAAAGACGCGCAGGCTCTCTCTCTCTCTCTCGTTCTTACAAGCTTCAGACTCACGACCTGTACAGAGAGGCCCCGGTCAATACCGACATCGTGTAAAGTAATTCTAAATAGGTGTCATTTTCTTCTCTTTTTTTATTTTGTACCTCCACGTGTCCTCGCTCTCTCGGAGCAAGAGAGCGCGGCGATTTGGACCCGCCGAATGTTAGAAGATTATCGGAATCGGCGCGTAAAATTCTGATAAGCGCGAACGACTCGCGCTGACGAAGCGATACGGCACGACCGGCGACACCCAGTCGTGCTTAATCGTCTTGAGCAAAATGCGGCTTCCGAGGAGACGTGTTGTGACGCGGCTTCTCGGCCGAAATTTCGCGAGAGAAGCGCCGCGGGGCGCAGAATCGCTGCAGTGATCCCCATCTCTCGACGGCAACGGGAAAATGAATCTGACCGGAGAATGCGATTCTCTGAATTTTACGATGACCCCCTTTGCTAATTCGATGCACGAACACATAAAATAATTACCCCGACTGCGAGGAAAATATGCGGTATAGGCGGAACTAGGTTGTTAGGTTTTGTGTGTGCGTGCGTACGTGCGTGTGTGTATACATGCGCGCGAGGAAGAGAGAGAGAACTTGATGAAACTGCTAACCAGCAGATTAGAACTCTCTCCTCTCCCTCTCCCTGTGATGCTGCTCTCATTCTACGCTGAAAAAACGTAAACACGTAATTGAGGACGTCGTGTGGAATTTCAATTAAGATGATAAATTAAGGTGTTTTTCTCCAAAGAGATAAAATCTCGATGTCATCGCGACAAACAAATTTACAGTCGCGCGTCGAAAAGTCGGAAAAAATAAAAGGCGCGACGGAATATCATTTCACGTAGCGGTTTACACCTCGGACGTTTCCCGAAGTCCTTTCTTTCGCACTCCCGTGTCCTCGATCGCGAAAATTTCAAGTAGGACGGGGATAGTATCGATGTCACCGATGATTATAGCGGTATTGATAAGCGGTCGGCAATCGACGACAGTAAAGAGAAAAGACAAAGAGAAAAGGTGAAAGAGTTCGGGCAGGTAGGCTCGTGCAGTTTAAGCGCGGTTAGCCTTAGACGTAACGGCGGACTAGGCGTTCGCGTTACCGTAATTCCGTTCCACTCTAGTTAATAAGCCATCTCGCTAATGCGATAAGCGCGCGATTCGAAGGTAACGACGGGTTATCCATGGCTGTCGTTCGAGCGAGCCGAAACGTAAAGCCCGAGAGGCGTCTCCGTCTCCTCCTCTCTCCCGCACACTCCATTACCTCTGTTACAGTTTTCAGTTACGCGAAATTCGTTCCCGGCGCAATGTCAATTCGCGTGGTTGCAATATCGTAACGTCGCGCATCGCCGGATAAACGAATAGACTCCATTCGATTACGACGACGATATTTCCTTTCTTACGTAACGCGCGCAAGCACGCCTCGGGAACGTCAAATGTTCGACGCTGTGAACTTTGAGCTGCGTGCGAGCGAGCAGAGCGGATTGTTTTTCCTTTTCCTTTTTCTTTATTTTGATTCCAAAGCTAAAGAGATCACGCGAGATCCGATCGTATTTCGATGTCGCGGAACTCCGCCGTCTGATTTTCCCGATTCGTACGAACGAGCGTTGTAAAGAGGAAAGCGCGGGCCCTTAAACTTCGTTTCGCGAGACCTTGGCCATTCCGGAGTGGATTAATTCTTAATGGTCACGGCGCCTCGCTCAGACGCAAACAACCACGTAACATCTTCTTTGTGAAGGGAACAGTCGCGGCTTAAATAGGATACGCAACAGCTAACTCGGTCAAGCAGAAGTTACGATCGGCGTTTCTCGTTCCGTAGGAAATTGCAACGTCGGTACTCCTCCGTAACATAAATATCAGTGGTGGGCACAGGTGTCGGTGTACGTTTCACTAAACATGCGTACACGACTGAGAATACGCCCGTCATATATACAGGGTGTTTGAAGACTTGTAAGCTTTCTCCAAACGGTAGGTATTGCTGAGGCCGTTGCTTTCTCAATTTTTCGATACCGCGCACGACGTGCGGAAAGAAATTTATATAATTTATGTATTTAAGCGAGCGAAAGAATCTTTTATGAATTTCTCAACAAGGAAGCAGAGAGCGGATGTGCGGACAATGACAGGGAAAAAAACTCAATTCCTGCGACTGAATAAGGACCAGATGGAGACCGGTGACAAGAAATGAAAACAAAGTGACGAGAAACGATATCTCTGTTACCGCGACATTCGTGTGAACATTCGGCTGCATTAAAACCCAGTTAAGATAACTAAGAGCGATTGGCTGAGCGGAAACTTCCCAGAAGAATCTTTCTGTTCCTGCATAGGAAGAAATTATTATCAATTCAAGTCTCATATTCTCTAAGCAAGAATATATAATAATATATGAAAATAAAACTTGCTCACATGAAGAAATTCTATATAATTCCTTTAAGAATATCGTATTTTTATCATTCACGAATTTCCGTGAAATGAAATTTTCATATAAAATTATACGTTCCTGCTTATATATAAGAGTATGAGTTTTGAATTGATACTAATTTTTATTCCGTGTACGACTAAGTTTTCGTCTCCACTGAGAGAAATTATCATTATTTTCGGTCTCAACTATTTCTTACGAATTTAACCACAAAAATAATAGTATGTAACAATACATGTGAGATTATTATCACTGACACTGTAGCAACACTTGCTTAAAAAAATGGTTCTCCCGAACATAATTCTTTCGCTATGATAATTATAAATACGTGGAAAAAAGTCTATTTGCATTAACAAGAAAATGAACAACCAGATGCGTTTTTGGTTGAAAGAAACAGAATTTCTGGTTATTATGATCCAAACGTGGCTCTTATAACCGGAAATTCTGCTTCCGTTTGTACAAATACGAAATATTTTTCTCTCAGTGTGGTCGTCTCCGGGCAAAACAAAAGGGGAAATTTAGTTGCACCAGCGGAATTGTTTTATCCGCGTGATCGGATAAATAATCTTTCGAATTCGACCACGATACGTCGTTTTCGACACGCGTCTCGGAAGCATCTCCCGCGAGGTTTTCGTGAGAGGAGAAAGATCGAATCGGCGATGGGAGGAACCGCGCGATCTTTAACGACACCGGGTGTACCGCGTTGCGATGCGTACGCGACGTTAACGACTGCCGGATGTTATCGCGCGCTAAATCTACCGTAACTCGCGCGTTATTAAACCTCGCGGCCCAGTAGCCGGCCGGCCGGTCGCGTAACTGTTTGCCGTGCAGGCGAATCGAAGACACCGATAGGCGACCGGAGAATCGGTATCGGTGGACTAAATCCGATATTGCGCGTTCGTGCGTAAACAGCAACGGTTCGCCGTGGGGTACAGCGGTTCCCCGTTTATTGGTATAGGTCAGATCGCGATCCACTCGCATCGTCTCGACGCGCGCGACGAAAGCGTGCCGGGCGGGGGGAAACTTTTTTTTCAATCGCCGAAGAAAACGTCGCGCAATCACGTCGAACGCTTAATCGAAATAGTAGCGTGTGCGATACACGCTCTTCGAATGCGGAGATAATGACATGACACGACGCGATTCTCTTTACGGGTTTGATCGCTGAAATTGCGTATGTTGTACGCGCGGAGACTATCATTGTTGTTCGCGGACGGTACACTTCCGTCAGGTGTGTAATCTAAGTTGGGTCGTAAAAAGGCAGGCCACTGCCGTAAAATGACGGGTTCTCGGGTATCGCACGCGGATGAAGTGCTGCACGTGAATTCATACGCAATTGGAATGATTGCGCAATGGAGAGCGACCGTTGTTTCTTTTCTCTTTATATCGGTCCGTCCAGGTAACACAAGCAACCGCGAGTGTAAGCGCAGATGCGACTAGAGTGATCTCGAGAATAACAGTTGTGAAAAAACCGCTGCGGTAAAACGCGTAAACTAATATTCCGCCAACAATTTCAATCAACCGGCTTTAACGCATAAATCATACGCGGGACGCATAAATCGTCATGTGTGAAAATAATGCTGTGCACAACGTGTAATTTGCGAAACTTTGCATCTTCGTAATTTCCTGCGCAGCATAATGCCCATTCTCCCAGAACAATGACACCGCGCGCGGTTAACTCATTATTGCGTAACACCGTCTACATGTACGTTCGATGCGCGTAGGTTGCGCGTAGACGCCCAATGCTGCTCTTAATTCATTCCGGTTGAAATTTATACGGCCTCGTTGCGGAGACCTTGTCTGGCCAAATTGATCAAACAAAGAGGCGCGCGTGCGTCTCGCGATTACATTTTTACACGGAAATCTTGCGCTTGCTGCTTATTTGTTTATCCCGCACACCGTGTTGATCGTCGCGATCGCGTTCAACGACGATCGTCTTGAAATTTTCAGCGGTAGTTTCGCCCAATTATCGGCTACCCAAGCTACCTTATCTACCGGCGTTCACCGGCGAGCCCTTCTCAGACGCGAGCGTCGTATCTCCCCGGCGATGTCCACACGCGGAATTTTTTCGCGGATTTTCACTCACGGAACGGTTCTCGTGGAACGACTTCTCAATGTTTACCGACGCAACCCCTGGGGAACACGTCGAACTCGCGGCCGGCCACCGTCGTATCTGCCCGGCGACTAATCGCGAGGAGGTCGCCGGAATATGGGTCCCGTGTACGCACAGCGCTCGGTGAAAGGAGAGAAACTCCGTAAATAATAGTGGGGAGGATAACGATGACTTTTTTCTCTCTCTATCTTTCTCTCCCTCGTCGCGATCCTCATACACGTATGTGCGTACGCACGACGAGAAGCACGCCCGTGTAAAAGCGGCTCCGCGGAACCGATAGGTGACAACGCGCTCTTTCACGCTCTTCCTTTTTCGAAAGGAAGACTGGGGCCTCCTACTTGGATCCGAAAGACTCGATCCTACAAAGCCGACGAAGAGCAGATTTACAAGCTCGCAATGTACGCGATAACGATAATAACCGTGACCGTAATCTGACTGGACAACTTGTCGCTCCGGAATGATTTAATTATATCGGCGATAACGGAAGGATCGAGGACGCGGATGTCGGACGACGTCTGGGACAGGAGGAATCCCCGAAGGGATACACGATACCAATACGATCTCTCGCGCGTGGTCCAGGAACACGGCGAGAAGACACGCCGACACGGAGCGAGGAAGAGCGAGAGAGAGAGGAGGAGGTGGAAAGAGCACTCGATAACGGTATCCGCAGCGAATGATCCCCACCCTCTCTCGAATGCCATAGACGTAGTCGAACGGACGGGCCGCAGGACGAACGGGAAATAAGATACGTTCATATTTTTCACGGCCCCGTAACACGCACCTGTCGCCACGACGGCGCGACGCCGCGCGCGCACCGATCGATTATAAATCCGAACACCTCGTAACTCTGTGCGTCGGCGCCTATCGATCACGACTGTCAACTCGTTGAATTCTCGGCTTGACCGCTGCGCACGGTGATCAAGGGATGCGCGTGGCCGACAGTTAAAGGATTAGATTGAGGAATCCTAGACAGAACGCGAGGGAACATTACGCGGGATGACGAGGAGCGAGCTAACGACGCCGAGCGTAAAATTCGCGGCAAACGGTTGCGAAGAAATCACGCTTGCGCACGCGATCTGAAAAACGTACCAATACACAGAGAGAAACATGTTACTTGTACTGTAAAGAGAAGCAATTACTCCGTTTATGTTTCCTCGTTTAAGTAATGGCTATCCCAAACGAAGAATGTTTTCTCGATGATAGTTTCTCGACGATTTAAATATACCCATCACAAATATTACCTCATTATTATTTACTTAAGAGAAGAATTTCTGTCTATTTTCAAGAATATTATAAGCTCGAAGAAAGGGTAAACTCGATTAATTGGAATATACAAAGTGTCTGACGCAAGCCGTGCCAACCGTCATATACTTGTAGTTTAGATCAACGTAAGCAAAAGAGTCCTCTACCATTTTGCAAACAACCATGCAAAATGTTGAGTTATTAATTATTAAAAGTAGTATATAGAAGTTTTTTTTTTATTAGAAGTTTTAATATTTTTCATTGAAGTACTAAACTTAGTGGGATCGAGAATATATTGTGAATAAATTCGATGTACTCATGATAAACTTATGATATTTTCCTTTGAAATATTTCATAAGTTTATATATCCGCAAGTATAAGTTCATCGTAATAAGTTCATCAAATTTACTTCAAGTACATTTTCAAACCTAGAAAGTTGAATATTTTGATCAAGAATATTACACATACGAGGGTCCAGAAAAATCGATGAGAATTTCACGAGACGCGCACGAGGGAAAGTCGTGCGGGCGATCTGATGTACGGTATGCACGAAATATCCACCGAGAAATTTCCCCGCAAACTCACGACTGGCATAACACCGCGTGCGGAGCTAGATTCCATGCAGTTTTCCCTCGCTATACGTGGCACTACGTGAACACATAACCGCTTTTACCACGTATACGGCGGGAATGTCTAATTGTGCACGCGCCCCCGATCGGGGCCCACTTTCCTCTTCCGGTAACAAGGACACAATTTGTTCGCAGAGTAAAATTGCAATTATCAACGGCGGCGTTCCAGCTCATTCACGGGCCGTAGGTCGCGTTTATGGAGCTGTACGTTCTCTCGGAACGCGCGTTTCGAGTTCCCGGAGCGTTGCGTGGAAGATAAATTCGTCAAGCCGGTGCCCTCCTCATGGATTCCTGAAATTTTTTCCAGCTCGCCCTACTTCCCGTCAAATTGGATTTACCTGCTTATCGCTTTATCGCATTAGAACCTCGATGCCCTAAATACCATTGTTTAATAATAACGCTACGCCACGTCTCACTTGATTATTATTCAATCAAACAATATTTATGAATACGAAAATATTATACGCCCATACAATCGATAAATAACTAAAGTAACGTAATTATCTTGATCGGGAAGAATAAAAAACATGAGTGTATGTCGTTTCTATTTTCTCTCCGTTTTCTATTTCTCCTAAAGCAGAGAACTGTTATCGCAACTGCACATACGAAAGAATATGATTATCCTATTTCTACGAGATACACAGCTGAGAGTACTCCGTTACGAGGAATACTCGATCCACAACAAGTGCGCGCAGGTATCGAGATACCGGCGCGGTATCGGGATGCTCGTTCGTTCGGTTCGCTAATCCGCGAGCAAGGGCGTCGCCCTTCGTGCTCGCCGGCGCTTTTAACGTGGCGTAACAGAAGCTGATACGGACATCACGCAGCAGGAAACGCAACGAAGTACGTCCGACG